TCAGCTCCTCTTTAATCTGTCACTTTGTTTTATCTGGCAAAGGTTAATTTTATATTCTTCCCTCGCTCTGCTCCTCTCCCCTTTGTCAGCAAGTCCTTTGTTGTTTTATTTTCTGAACTGGCGACTGCACCTCTCTCTTGCTGGGCTGCTGGAGGTCCTGGCTGAATGCTAATTCACCCCTTTGGATTTAAAAATTTAGAGGAGACACCTCATCCCTGCTGCTGAGACATTTCCCTGGGTGCAAATGAATTTATTTTCAATTTTCCTCAGGCAGATTACACCGTGCTTATGCTGACAGAATTATTTGACAGCATCCCCTGATATTTCAGCGTCTGGTAGAGAGAGAGAGAGAGAGCCCAGAAAAAAATCCTGAGGATGTTTTGCAGTTTGTTTTCTCTTTAATCTGCTCTCTTTGTGGCTTTGAGAGCAGGGAATGGATTGTGCAGCTCCGTGGCCTTGATAACGTCACGGGAACGTCCGAATTATTTGATCCCAGCCCATTAAGTGGTGAGGGGAGACAGAGGGAAAATAACAGAGGGAGGCAGAGCAGTGATCCAAATAATTGTCTAAACGCCAACCCCAAGCCAAGCTCATCCTCTGTGCCAGGAATTAGGGAGATGGATGTTCCCAATAATGGGTTTTACCAGGGGTGGCGGTGGGGAAAAGGGATGAGCAAAGCATTTGTACATAAAATATCCCAAACTTCGGGCAGGTAGCACTCCAAAGGCAGCCTTGCCTTCCCGAATTCATGGGCCTTGGCAGCTGCAGCTTGGGGTGGATTGAACCCCTGCAGAGCTTGGAGGGTTTTTCATGCATGTTCTTCCCCTCACATGGTTTTAATTATTTCCGTGGCTTTTTGGGAACCAGCAGAAATCAGGGGTTTGTTTGCGGTGGGAAGAGCTTCTCCTCCTCCAGGGCTGCAGATTCCTCTGGTTTGTCCCAAACCTCAGCATTTGGGAAACGTTCTTGGGCTGTTCCACCTCTCCCGGTGCTCAGCCAGGTGTGAACGATTTCCCAAGGACGCAGACAAAGCAAATNAACTGCAGGAATTTCTCCTGCCTGCTCCATATTCACATCCATATCCCTCTCCCAAAAAAGAACCAAGGAGCTGCTCCTTCATTGTTTCACTGCTCTAAACCAAGCAAAATCCTGGTGCTGCTTGTGATAACGTGAACAAATCCCTGTGCTGGTTCATTCATGCCGTGGTCTCGCCGCTCTGTGTCTGCTGTGATTTATTCTGTATTTAATAAAGGGATTTTTCTCATTGCCTTTGCAGTAATTGGTCAGCAATAAGGATTATTGGCAAATGTGGCAATTATCGACAAATGAAAAAAAAAATTATTGACACAGGCAGCTTTGTAAACAGGCCCCTGTGCTGTGCACATAATGAAATGGCCTCTGCTGGCATTTAACAAGGGTAATGAATATTAATTGCTGCTGATGGGCAGCTGCAGGCAGCAGGGCTGGCCTCTGTCACGCTGGGGATGGCTCCTGCTGCTCAGGGCTCCTTGGGATGCTCCAGGTGCAGCTGGGCTGTCTCCATCCTCTTCCTCCCCACAGCCTGGCCCTGCCTGGGACACGCTGCTGAACAGCCCCTGGTTTGTCCCAGCGTGCAGCTGCAGGGAGGCTGCAGGAGCAGGGCTGAAACCGCCTTCCATGTGAGGGGAAAACTCCTTCCACAGCAAAGGAAAACCTCCTTCCAAGTGAAGGAAAACCTCCTTCCATGAGAGGGGAAAACTCCTTNAATAAAAAATGGAAGGGAATTAAGGGAAGATCCAGGGTGGTGTTTTCCCCTCCTGGTTTTTGATGCACATGAAATGCTGATATTTCTGTGATGACAGAATTTCTGTCAGGGGGAAATCACACTTTCCCTCCTGAGGCAGCCTCAGAGCAGGAACTGTGAATGTCCCAGTGAGGAGGCTGAGGGCAGGGCCGGCTGTGGGCACTGATGCCCCTTTCCCTTTGCAGTTTCCTGCTTTTTCAACTTCACCAGCCCGTCGGGGACCGTGCTGTCGCCCAACTACCCCGAGGAGTACGGGAGCAGCCTGCACTGCGTGTGGCTGATCATCGCCAACCCCGAGAGCCGCATCCACCTGGCCTTCAACGACTTCGACGTGGAGCCCCAGTTTGATTTCCTGGCTGTCAAGGACGGTGCCACGGCCGAGTCGCCCGTGCTGGGCACCTTCTCAGGGAGCCACATCCCCTCCTCGCTGACCAGCAGCGGCCACGTGGCCAGGCTGGAGTTCCAGACTGACCACTCCATGGAGAAGAGAGGGTTCAACATCACCTTCACCAGTGAGTGTGTGCTGGGTTTGCGTGGCTGGGAGGGATGGTGCATGTAATATATATATATGGATATGTATATGGATATGTATGTATATATATGTATATGTATATGTATATATATGTATATATATGTATATATGTATATGTATGTGTATGTATATATATGCATATATATGTATATATACGTATATGTATATATGTATATGTCTATATATATGTATATGTATGTATATATATGTATATGTCTATATATATGTATATATGTATATATGTATATGTATATGTATATGTATATGTATATGTATATGTATGTATATGTATATGTATATGTATATATGTGTATATATATGTATATATATGTATGTGAATATATGTATATGTATGTGTATATATATGTGATTTTATATTTATAAAAATATAAATATGTATATATAATATACATATAATATACATATTATATGTATATTATATATATAGAAATATATTATATAATATATATATTATGTATAATCATAAAGTTAGCCATCTTGTCAGAAGGCTAACTTTATGATTATATATTATATATTAATTATACTTTCATTACTTATGATTATATTATTTTATGATTATATATTGTATAATTNCCTTCCAAGTGAAGGAAAACCTCCTTCCAAATAAAGAAAAACCTCCTTCCATGTGAGGGAAAAACTCCTTCCAAGTGAAGGAAAACCTCCTTCCATGGTGAGGAAAAATCTCCTTCCACAGAGTGGAAAAATCTCCTTCCACAATAAGGAAAAACCTTCTTTTACAGCAAAGGAAAACCTCCTTCCAAATAAAGAAAAACCTCCTTCCATGTGAGGGAAAAACTCCTTCCAAGTGAAGGAAAACCTCCTTCCAAGTGAAGGAAAACCTCCTTCCACGGTGAGGAAAAAATCTCCTTCCAAGTGAAGGAAAACCTCCTTCCACAGAGTGGAAAAATCTCCTTCCACAACAAGGAAAAATCTTCTTCTACAGCAAAGGAAACCTCCTTCCAAATAAAGAAAAACCTCCTTCCATGGTGAGGAAAAATCTCCTTCCACAACAAGGAAAAACCTTTTTCTATAGCAAAGGAAAACCTCCTTCCATGATGAGGAAAAATCCCCTTCCACATAGTGGAAAAATCTCCTTCCACAGCAAGGAAAAACCTTCTTCCACAGCAAAGGAAAACCTCCTTCCAAATAAAGAAAAACCTCCTTCCATGTGAGGAAAAATCTCCTTCCACAAAGTGGAAAAATCTCCTTCCACAACAAGGAAAAAACTTCTTCTACAGCAATGGAAAACCTTCTTCCAAGTGAAGAAAAATCTTCCACAGAGAAAAAAAATCCTCCTTCCACAGTGAGGGAAAACCTTTATCCACAGTGAAGAAAAATCTTCCACAGAGAAGGAAAACCTCCTTCCATAGTAAGGAAAAATCTCCTTCCACAGAGAAGGAAAACCTCCTTCCAAGTGAAGAAAAGTCTTTCACAGAAGAAAAGCCTCCTTCCAAGTGAGGGAAAAATCTCCTTCCACAGCAATGGAAAACCTCCTTCCAAGTGAAGAAATATCTTCCACAGAGAGGAGAAACCTCCTTTTACAGTAAGGAAAAATCTCCTTCCAGACAAAGGAAAAATTTCATTCCACAGTGAGGGAAAACCTCCTTCCACAGTGAAGAAAAATCTTCCACAAGGAAGGAAACCTCCTTCCATAGCAAGGAAAAATCTCCTTCCACAGAAAAAAAAAATCTCCTTCCACAGAGTGGAAAAATCTCCTTCCACGACAAGGTAAAACCTTCTTCTACAACAATGGAAAACCTCCTTCCAAATAAAGAAAAACCTCCTTCCACAGAGTAGAAAAATCTCCTTCCACAGAGTGGAAAAATCTCCTTCCACAGCAAGGAAAAACCTTCTTCTACAGCAATGGAAAACCTTCTTCCAAGTGAAGAAAAATCTTCCACAGAGAAGAAAAACTTTCTTCTGTGGTAAGGAAAAATCTCCTTCCAGGGAGAGGAAAAATTTAATTCCAGAGTGAGGGAAAACCTCCTTCCACAGTGAGGGAAAACCTTGCACAGAGAAGGAGAACCTCCTTCCATGATAAGGGAAAATCTCCTTCCAGGGAGGAAAAAAATCTCCTTCTATGGCAAGCAAAACCTCCTTGTACAGTGAAGAAAAATCTTCCACAGTGAGGGAAAACCTCCTTCCACAGAGACCGAAAATCTCCTTCCAGAGAGAGGAAAAACTTCCTTCCACAGTAAAGAAAAATCTTCCCCATAGAANTCGAAACCTGGGAGGAGAAAAAGAGTGATTGACTGACCCCAAGGAGGAAACAACTTTCACTTTATAAGAGAAACCAAGGGAGGAGCAGTTTCATTTCCATAGCAATCTAACTGGCAGTGTAGCAGCAGGAAGTAATACAGAAAATGGGGGGAGCAAACTAACGAACTTAAGAACACACCACAGCAGGGATCAGCAGCTCCCAGTTAAGTTTTAAACAACTTCAGCTCCTTCCCAAAGCCAGTCCCTGCTCCTGCTGGAGTGGGTGGCAGTGAAACCTGCTCTTCTCTGCACATCTGTTTTAAATTCAGTGATATTTTCCTCAAGATTTGCTTCCCAAAACCTGCCTGGTTTTCATTCTTCTCCTCATACCTGCAGTCCCACCCCCGGACTGAGCTGAGTTTTGTTGCTCTGAAATAACAAAACCCTCCCGGTTGATTTTGCTCCAAACTCCTTCCCTCACCTCCCACCTGCCCTGAGGTGCCCCAGGGTTTTCAGGAGGAAAAGGCACCCTGAGATGCAGATTTTTATATTTTTTTCCCCCTTGGAATAACAGATACAGAAAGAGGAAAATAGAAAATGTGAAGAACTTTGCTGCCCAGCTGGAGCAGTGCCCTGAGCTTCCAGCACTGTCCTGCTTTCCCAGCCCATCACCAAGGAGGAATTTTTGGAAAAAAAAAAAGGAAATGCAAAGCAGAAAATCCACTCCAGCTCTCTCCCAAGAGGTCTGTGGGAGCAGGATCTAAAAACTGAGAGGAAAGTCAAGAATTTTGGATTGTTTCCATGGAAACTGCTGCTGTTCCAGGGACTCCTTCCTTGGTTTTCAGCTCCTGACCCCGCTCCCGTGGTGTGACCTCACTTTGGGATCAGCCCTGGGTTCTCCTGCAGGATGAACAGGGAATGGAGGCAGGAACAGGAGGAGAGAGGTGGGATCTGGGAAGGGAGAATAAAAGGGAGAAGAGAAGGAAGAGAAAAGAGAAAGAGAAGAGAGAAAAGAGGAGAAAGAGAAGAGAGAAAAGAGAAGGAGAGGAAGGAGAGGAAAGAGAAAGAGAG